AAAAGGGGGACGAGAGAGATACCTGGGGATCGGAGGCTGCGGGGCACTGTGGGGAAGAGGGGAGGGGGGGAGGGGGTGGGCGCGTAGGACGAGGAGGAGGAGGAGGAGGAGGAGGAGGAGAATGAGGGGGAGGAGGGGGAGGAGGAGGAGGAGGAGGAGGAGTGAAGGCTAGGAGGAGGGTGACGACGGAGACTCAATCACCCGAGCCTTCGGCGGGATCGCACCACTGCCAGACCCCCTGCTGCGACCGCGCCCGCGGCCCCTTGTCGTTGGTGCCACCTCCTCGTCAGCAGAGTTATCCTCGTCCTCGTCGTCATAGCCCATGTTGTCAGCATCGCCTCTAGGTGTTGCTATATACAAACGCGGCTATGCCAACATTCGAACATAATGTTTGCACGACTTCTGGAGCAGAGCACTGCGCAACCGATGGCGAATCCAGCATGTGGCCCCAGAGATTGCGCCGTGAGCGCCCAAGCAGAAACGCCATAGGCTGCACCATGCTTTGCACTAAAGACTGCGCCTTCAGTTGTGCCATAGTTTGTGACATAGGTTGCGCCGCTCGGGCGCCAAAGGTTTCGCCCCCTTTCGTCAGCCAGCCAGCCAGCCAGCCAGCCAGCCAGCCAGTCAGTCAGTCAGTCAGTCAGTCAGTCAGTCAGTCATGTGAGCAAAAAAACACCCAATTTCGCACGCGAGCCTCTGCGAACGTCCTGGAGCATCTTGGCACCGTGCACGCTGTCCATCAACTTCCCGAAATCCTCGTCGCCGATCGCTTTCGAGCCCTTCACCTTGCCCACCTTCGTCCTGTCGAACGATCTGGTATGTGAGTCCTCGATGTCGAGGTATTTTTTCCATTTTGGATGCGAAGGATCACGTCTGACCTGGGCTGCAGGTGGAAACGACATTGCCCATGCGCAGATGCAGGAGGACGAGATATGAGGACGGGGGATGATATGATGAGGAGGAGGGGCATGATGGTGAGGAGGAGGGCATGATGATGAGGAGGATGATGATAGATGAGGACGAGGATGAGGAGGAGGCGGAGGAGGAGCAGGAGGAGAAGGACGACGACGATGACTCATCCCTAACCCCTTGTGTGTTCACAAATACCCAAGGGGACTTTGATGGCTCCCTCATGAAGCCGCTTCTCCGCCTCCTCCTCGCCGTACTTGTCGGTCATCCCCTTCCACGGCTTCCAGGCGGATTTCCTGCTGATCCCCTCGCCAGTCGTGACGGTGGTCGCGATGCTCCAAAACTTCTGGTCGAACTCTGGGTCCTGCAAGGGTGTCGAATCAAGTTTTCTTTCGGGGTCCTCGTGGCCTTCCAGGAGGAGGGGACATAGTAGGGGCGGCCAGATGAGGGGCGGGAAGGAGGGGAGGATAGAGGACTTGCGATAGCGGCCCAAGGCTGGCCACCAGAACATGTGCAGAACCCGGGCGGCTAGATGGAACAGGAAATGTAGTAGGCCAATTGCTCCTCTGGCTAGGGTCTAGGGTAGGTCGGGACAGGGGGTGCCAGCAGAGTAGGTCTTATGATGAGTTAGTACTTGGCTAGTACTTGACTGAGTAGAGTAAGTTAGTTCATCTATGGAAGTTCACATTAATCTAAAGGTAAAGCTGTCTGAAACCAACAAAACAAACCATGCCCGATGAGTTGCTTTTTGTTCGGGGTCGACGCTGGCTGGAAACTCCTTCAGCCACGCCATCAAGTAGCCGATCTTCGTTCTGTTTTTCCCCTCCCTCTGGCCCTTCTTGTCGTTCTCCTCGAACGCGTCCGAGACCTGGGTGTTCTTCTTCCTCGCGCTCCTGAACTGGCCGTGAAGAAGCTTCACCTCCTCTGGCGAAAAGATGACGCGCAGCTCGTTGTCGCCCTGCCCGTCGCTGAACTGCCTGGCGACATTTTATAAGGGGTTCAGCTCGGGTGGAGGAGAAGGCGTGGAGATAGGGAAGGATGGGGAGCCGAATGAGAAGGAAGAGGATGATGGAGGGGCGGGGTGAAGAAGGCGAGGATGCCTGTGCAAGTCCTTGCGCTTCTCGAACGACTTGCCCTCGCACTTCCTGACCAGCTCGGCGAGTTTTTTCCTGCAGGCATTTTTTGTCAAACGGGGACCTGAAACGAAGGACGACGCGATCAAGACTACGGGGATGCAGGGAGAATGAAATTTGAGAAGGAATTATTGATAACACGTATTACTAAGAAACGGATCACCAGGGAGGAGGAACGGGAGTGGTGGGCAAGGCACGGACAAGACGGGGCAGTGAACTTAATCCCACCAGCCCTCTGGGCGTAGGTGGTTAGACCAATTTGGTCTTCTCCCTGCCGAAACCTTCTCCTTCCCCTGCTCGGGGGAATGGTTTACCTCTCCCCATGCCTCCTCCCCTGGACCCAAGACGGCATGTTGGGCCCTCCGTGGGGGACCTGCATTCCCCCCTCTCTTTTTGAGCGATGGGGCCCACGACGGCCCCAATAAGCCACCCAGACCCCCCAAAAGAGCCCCAAGAGGGCCCCCTCCCAAACCCCCAACCGAGCCCCAATATAGAGTTCCAATATGACCACAATATGCCCCAAAGAGTGTTACAAGAACCCTTGTCACCGACTCACCTGGCGATCGTGTCTGGATAGGTTGACGGGGGTACGCGAAGCGTCAAGCATTTCCCTAGGTAGTGCACAGGGACGACGAATTTGTCTGCCCACGTGTCCCCTTAGCAGTGTCCACAACCAAGGTAGTGTCCTTGACCTTGGCCTTCTTCTTGATGGTCTTCATGGCCCCGAGCGGCTTGGCCTTGGCCTGGGGCTTAGTTTCATTATTCAATGAGTGGTGCATTCTGGAAGCCGCTGCAAACGAAGCCTTTAAGTGATATGCCCCATGTTGTTGAAACTGTGGAATGTAAAACTGGTCGCAGCGCCTCCCGAAAACAACATGGGGACAATTGCATGACCCAAGCTCGCCTTCGCGGCGCCACGCTTCGGCGCCATGCCGAAGCAGCACATCTGCCAGCACAGCTGCCAGCACGACGAGGCCGCGACTGGAAAGTCGGGGCCGAACTCGCGCCAAGAACGGCTCTGGAAAGCCAGACCAGTTCCTACTCCTCATCCTCCTCCTCGTCCTCCTCCTCGCCCTCCTCCTCGTCGTCCTCCTCCTCCTCATCATCCTCCTCATCGTCCTCGTCCTCCTCATCATGGGGCTGGAGACTAGTGGAATTCGGAATTCCGACGCTCGGTTTTGATTCATGTATTCGGTCGAATGCTACGTTTCTGTTCCCTATGGTATCGAGCTGAACACAAATCTGCCACGGGTCAATCATAATTACATGCCAACTAAATTACAGTTTCACAAAAATCAACAACATTATTGCACCAAAATGTGTGGTTTGTATGATCAACACAACAATAAAATCACAATAGTTAAATGGTTTATTTTTATATGATTTATTTGCGAATCTGGCTGACAAACGTTTGACAAACGTTTGCCAAACGTTTGTCAAACGTTTGACAAACGTTTGTCATTGCCGACAAACGTTTGTCAATAATGACAAACGTTTGTCAGAATGGCAAACGTTTGTCAAACGTTTGTCAAACGTTTGCCAAACGTTTGACAAACGTTTGTCACGTCGTTTCCGACAAAAAATAAAAATAACAAGTTGTAATTGTTATTTTTGATTTTTAAGCCAATTAGTTACACGTGGAATATATGTTACTACATTCTAATTACTGGTTGTACACATAACCCGCAGTGCAGTTTGTCATGTTTGTAACTTGTTTTCACATATTCGCAATACATTTTAGACACACATGGCCTCATGCAACCCACTTATTTGCAATATGCATTCGGCATTGCAATTTATTTACTCACATTTCATACGCGATACTAGCCATCGCACCTAGGACGGGGAGGAGGCTGATGAGGTTGAGGAGGAGGAGGATGAGAAGGCCGACGGCGATCGGGACAGCGAGCCGTGCCCGCGGCGACGTTCGGGGCGCCGCCGCCGCCAGCCCACAAGACCCCAGGGTCATCAATATTCCAGTCAACATTACTCCTCCTCTCCAATCCACAGCCCCCGCCCCCCTTCCCCCTTCCTCTGCGCCTGTCCAACCAGTCCACACTCCTCCTATCCTCCATGAAGGGTCCTCAAGACTCAGGAGGGGGGCTGGGGTTTGGAGGATGCCATGTGGCATCATACAATCCCTTGCCCCCTCCATCTTCCCCCTTCCTGGGGGAAGGTGGCAATCCTGCCCATGTCCGGCTGGCAACATTTATCGCGAGCACAGGTGTAGATGTGCAATCCCGTCAATTGACCAACGCAAGCTTGAATCAACCTAGAACGAACACTCAATCACACAGAATGCAATGATACCTGCGCAGCTCCCTTCGCGACAGTTCCACCGTCGCGTCGCTGAAAAGTACATTCCGCATCTGGTGAACGAAACTTCAAATCCACCAAGCCCTCTGGGCGTAGGTGGTTTGGCGAACTTTGTTTCCCTCTGCCGAAACCTCCTCCCCACCCTTTGCTCGAGCGAGGGGCTTACCCCTCTCCCATTGCCTCTGCCCTGGACCTGGACCCAGGGGGCGCGAGGTGTCAGGGCGCTCCGCGTTGGTCCAAGATGGTCCCAAGAGGGCCTCAGAGCTCCCAAGATGGCCTCCAAGATTGCCCAATATATCCCACGATCTATCCAGATAGCCTCCGACGCACATCTAAGAGACATCAAGACTGCCCCAAGGAGGTTGCAGGTGCCTTCCGAACCCTCCAAGGACCCTCGCCAAGAGGCTAGAATTCTTACAATACCCCCTCACAACATTATATACCGAATGGGCTGGTGGGGATCCGCAAAGCGTCAGGATTTCCGAGAGCTGCATCAATCGGCCATGTTTGCCAATAGCTTGGCGCGAAGGAAAACCGCTGCCTTTTTTGTCTAGCTTCTTGGCGCAGGACATTCTCATGATGTCCTGCAGAAGCTGTGCATGGCGTGGACTCTGTTACGAATTGACCTCGATGAAAAGATGCCGCTTCTTCTCACTGTCCAGCCACAAAGCGTAGCTCTTCTGAGAGCCGTAGACCGCGACCAAGTCGCCAACAGTCGGGTGTTTCCAGGACCTCGGAGGGTCGAGCTCGTCTGTCGAGGGCGAAGCAGCAGAAATGATCTTGGCCTTAGACTTAGTGGGCCCCATGTCCTTGTCGACAGCAGGCCCCTTGCTCTTGTCCCCCTTGGAACCCGTGCCCTTGTCCCCCGCGACCCCCTTGGATTTCAGTTCCTTCTTGACTGCCTTGGGGAACGAGCGGCGGGGGGGGGGGAGCGTTTTCTTTTTTTAGGCGGGAGAAAACCAGCGAGCATAAATGTGGCGACGCCTTGTGGGTACGTGCAGCAGTCCCCTGAGACCGTCGTCTACTAGGTGCGACGAGCCATCCAGTCAGTCAGTCCAGCTAGTCAGCCAGTCAGTTTGTCAGTCAGTCAGTCCAGCCAGTCCGTTAACCCTGGGGTGGGTAGGGATCTGGCAATCGATCGGGAATCCAGCTGCGGCGACGAGAGATCTCCAATGCCAGAATGCACCGAAAACATATAATGCCCTGTTCAGGGTCACGCCTTGATCTTCTCCTTACGGGATGGCATCTGATCAGCATCCTTCGCCAAGGCGAAGAGGCGGGTAGCATCTGGGGCCTCGGGCTTCGGGGGCGTCTTGACAATCTCATTCTTCTTCCCCTTCGCGATCGGCGTGCGGCCCGACAGCCACGAGCATATGTCCTGGCGAGGCGGCGAGGCGGGGGGGACAGATCCTAATCATGCCCCTCATCGTTCTGAGCCTCCCCGCCATCCTCATCCTCCTCCTCATCCACCTCCTCATATTCCTACTCATCCTTCTCCTCCTCCTCATCCTCCTCCTCCTTCTCCTCATCATCCTCCCCCTATACATTCCCCCTCCTCCTCCTCCTCCTCCTCCTCCTCCTCCTCACCCCTATACTCACTCCCCCTCCTACCTAGTGGCCTTCTGCCCATCCCGAAGTTACATACCTCAAGTGGTACTTGGGGTCTTATGTTTGGCCTCCTGGGTACCTCTTGTGGCTTCTTGGGGGCCTGTTGGAGCCCCTTTGGGGCCTCTTGGGGGCCCCTTGGGCGCGTTTTGGGCTACACTGGGGGCGGGGGCTGGCAACGGGGGGCTTTTGGCTATGCATTGAGGCGTGGGAAGTTCCCCAGCCTCCCTGATTCTGCCCTTCTCCCCCCATCCATCCTCGAAGTGAAACTCAGCATCCTTTCAATCACTTCTTTCCACCCTGAGTCATGCTCCGATGGTGATGGGGATGATGACGACACGATGGCGATGGGAAACGTGAGGATGTTGATGACGACGGCTATGGCAGTGCTGACGATAAAACTACGACTCGTAACTATGATGATGACATGGTTATGCGCATTGATGATGCTTCTAGCGAAGGTGACGCTATTTTTCCCCATCAGAGTTCGAATACACTCACGTCAATCTGAGTGCATGTAAATCGCGTTCCCGAAACGTCCAGCCGTGGAGCTGCGCAGCGAGCCTCACCTCCTGAAGTCGCCCCACTTGAGCCAGTGAGCGAGATCCTTCATCTCCTCGCGGTTGATGTCCTCCTCGACATCCGTGTTGGCCTTCACCCTCGACTGCGGCGTGTGCTTCGCCTCCGCCTTCGGCTTCGGCTCAGCTCGCACGCGCACCTTCTTCTTTGGCTCAGCGCGCGGCTTCTCCTGTGGCTCAGAGCGCGCCGCCTCCGCTGGCCCCGTGTGCGTCTCATTCTCCTCCTCTGGCCCAGCGCTCGCCTGCATCGTCGGGCTATCGACTTTGGCGCCGAGAGTCCTTGCCATGATCCGCTCGGCGGGCGACTTGCTCTTCCAATCGATGAGGCCCGTACCCTCGCTCGAGCCTGCGGGCGAGGGCCGCTGGCTCGCCCCACCAGGCGCCCCGAGGGGCTTCTCGATCGGCGACTCCTCGTTCGGCACCGAGTCGCTCTCGTCGATCGTCGGCTGTTGGCTGGGCTTGTCGATCGAGGCCAGGCTGGGCTGCTCGGACGGCGCGGGGCTGGGCTGATCGGTCGGCACGTTCGGGTCAGGCGTCTTCTGCCTGATGCGGCTTCTCTTGCATGGCGTTCCGTCCTGGCTCGAGCAGGACAAGCAGCAGCAGCAATAACATGAGTGTGAGTGTGAGTGAGAGGAGGGGGGGAGGAGGAGGGCGAGGAGGAAATGGTGGGGGAGGATGCGGTGCGAGTGGAACAGGAGAGAGGGAGAGAGAGAGAGAGAGAGAGAGAGAGAGAGAGAGAGAGAGAGAGAGAGAGAGAGAGAGAGAGAGAGAGAGAGAGCGAGAGGAAGGAGGTGTAGCGTTTAAATGAGCACACTGTCCTCCGAAGAAATAGATGCGATCATCGCGTCGTCTGGGGGGGTCTCTCTTCGGGCTTGCCTTCTGGATCGGTGCTGCCTGGACCTCATCGGACTTTGGGTTTCCCTGGAGGAAGAGCTCGTTCACGATTTTGGCGGCCTCTCGAGCAAAGACGGTCGGGATGCTCGAATGTGCTGAAAGTGGTGAAGCTTGAAGGTCCGAGTGGTTCTGCGGCTTGTCCTCGAAGGGGAGCAAACATATTCAAAGGCACACTGGTGCCCACCATGCCCTCGCACTCTCCCCGAGGGCGTGGCTTGGGATGGGTGTCAGGGCAAGGCAGGCACCTGTGTGCGATTGAATATATCGAATTCCCCTACGCTGACCTTCTCGAGCCTCCGAAACGCCACGTTGTCACTGAGAAGGTGGACTTCCCCCAAGGCCTCGCCCCCGAACGCCCCCAGAAACGTGTGATTCGCGTAGCGGATGGACATCTTACGCATGGCCCAGAGGGCAGGGTACATCCACAACCAGGTTGGCTTTGGGTGAATCCATACTTGGTGCACCTGGGAACGGAAAGCAAACATCAGCATCGCACCCTCAGCTCCTCATATTCCCCCCCCCACCCCCACCCCTTCCTCCTTGTCCTCGCTCTCAGCCTCCTCCTCCTATTTTTGTTGTTCTGCATCCGCCTGCCCTCCTCCAAAGGGGTAGGAGTTTCGACCGATGGCGCCCCGCGAAGCCAACAAACGAGGCCGACCACGGCGCAGCGAAGGACCTGGAGGTTCGCATGATGTACTGGCTGGACGTGGTCGTCTCCTGCAGGACGTGCTGAGGTCCTTGAGCCCGAGTCGGCGGTGTCATAGACCCACGGGTCCGCTGTCGGGGCGATCCACACCGTGCCTCCCTGCTGAACGCGAAGGGCTAGCGTGAGGAGGTACCCGAAGCCCTCCTCCGACAGGATGTTCTGCTCGTGCCCGTAAACGTCGTTGAACGGCATCGACGGGCCGAACAAGCTGCACTCCTCTGCAATGGCCGAGGACCCGAGCACCTCCAGGCACAGCAGGTCACGCCGCTCGGGCTTGAGCGCGGAGAGGACTGGGATGCAGTCTCCGAGGATGAACTCGAGGATCTTGTCCTTCTGAAGCTTGAGCTGGGCCCAGCGGTCGGCGATGAAGAACTCGCTAGCGATGGCGTCCAGCCCGCCATCGCACGACCCACTTGCCGCAGAGGACATGCCACTGCGGGCGCGGCGCTGGCGGCGCGGCGCTGGTGCCCGCGGGGGCGTTGCGCCCCGAAGCAGGCCAGAGCCAAAATGGCTACGGAAAAACTGCGTTGTACTGATTTCCGTACGCCTCCCTTGCAGGAGACCGCAGGAGACCGAATGGGGTCCCAGGAGGCTTCCAGGTGCCCTCACTCATGCTCAGACTCACTCATACGACTCATACCCAGTTCCGCGCATGCCTCACGCGGACTCATCCACTCATCATCAGGAGGAGGAGGAGGAGGAGGAGGGACGAGAAGGAGTAGGAGTAGGAGTAGGAGTAGGAGTAGGAGGAGGAGGGGGAGGAGGAGGAGGAGGAGGAGGAGGAGGGAGGATGGGCGAATAGGGGGATGATGATGACACGGCCACTGGGGGAAACCAGAGTCGCCTACATAACGCTGGCGAGCGGCGCGGAGGATAAGGAGGAGGAGGGGAGGGAGAGGGGCAGGTGGAGGAGAAGACATCCAACCACGAGCAGGAGGTGCAGGACGTGCAGGTGGAGAAGCCAGAGGAGGAGGAGGAGGAGAAGGAGGAGGAGGGGGATGATGAGGAGGAGGATGAGGGGGATGATGAGGAGGAAGAGGACGGGTAAGGGAGAGGATGAGGAGGAGGAGGACGATGATGAGGAGGAGGAGGAGAAAGAGGAGGAGGAGGAGGAGCGGCCCCCCTGGCCGCGGCGATCCTTCAGCTCATCGGTCGGCACACCGAGGTCGGTGAGCCTGGAATCGAAGAACTTCTTGTCGGAAGCCTGGGGCAACGGATATTTCCATCGTCGTCCTCAATATCATCTCATTGCCTTCTTCTCCTTACCAGCCCTTCTCCCCTCCTCATCCTTCTCAATCTCCTCCTCGTCCTCCTTATCCTTCTGCGTTCTCCTCGTCCTCATCTTGCTCCTCTTCCGCAGCCTCTTCGCCCCCGTCGCCCTCCGTACCCCTCTCTCCCTCTACCCCCCCTTTCCTCTGCCACATCCTTCCCCTCCGTGCCCCTACCTCCCCTCTTCTCCTGGCCTCCGTCCCCTCTCCCCCATTTCCCCCACATCAATCCTAAGGTGCTACCCCGCTGCTCAACTCACATATTCCTGATCCGCCTCCTTCTTCCTCCTCCCCCTGTGTTTCTTCACGTGCCGCTCCCACTCTTCCCCCTCATCCTCGTGCTGCCTTGCAGTCGTTCCTCCTTCTACTCTTACTCCCTACCCCTCCTCACCATCCTCCTTCCCATCATCCCCTCCCTCTCTCCTCTCTTACTCCTGCCGCATCGGAAAAAAAAAACCCGATCCTTGAACTCGATGTCCTCGCCCCCGCTGGTGCGCCCCTCGTCCTCGGCCTCGCTGGTGAGCTCCGCGCCCTGGTCCTCGTGGTCGGAGCCGACGTCCTGGAGGTCGTCCTCGTGGTCGGAGCCGACGTCGCTGGCGCCCGCCGCGCCGTCGGCGATCGGCACCTCGAGGTGCCGACGACGACAGCGGCGACGAGACGACTACGACGACGACGACGACAAGTGATTACATTTACGATGTGGGCCAGGATTAGTGGCACGAGTGGGATTAGTAACGTTTCTGGTGTCACGACTCGGATTGGAACCCAACGCACTGGATCGAAGCGAGATCTGCGCGCGAGAGGCGCAGCCGACGACGCTCTTGATGACGCCCTCGGGGAAGGCATCGGGGATGGAATATAGGATGGGCGCCCCATCAAGTGCAAGAAGTAGTTGATCGAGTCGGCCTCCTGCGCGTTGCAACTCATCATGGCCTCTGCGGCGCAGGGGGTAAAAATGTTGCCAGGAGTAGGAGTAGGACCAGGAGTAGGACCAGAAGTGGGACCAGAAGAGAACCAGGAGTAGGACCAGGAGTAGGACCAGGAGTCGGACCAGGAGTAGGACCAGGAGTAGGACCAAACTAAGGTCCAGGAGTGGGACCATGACGAGGAGGGGGAGGACAGGGGGGCGGAGGAGGACGATGACATGGGGATATAGGGGCGAGGAGGAGCAGAAGGAGGAGGAGGAGGAGGAGGAGGAGGAGGAGAAGGAGTTGGAGGCAGGGGGTTACAACTACCTATCTTGGCACTCCCCACTCTTGGCGTCCTGGCGGAGACGAGTCTGACAATCACGCAATCTCCGAAGATGTTTTAAAATGACCAGG